CACCTCAAACCCGTCGGAAGAAGTAAAGTGGCAGGCGTTGTTAGTAGCATCGAGTATCTTCCAATAAAAGCGAAACTAAGATTTCCAACGAATACTTCCACTCGAATCAACTTAAATCTCAAAGCTTCAACTTCAACTCTTTGAGGCGCGCCACATGGGGCTATCTAATTTCTCCCCTGCACACAGACTGTGGCGTCTTTGACTTTTACTCCTTTTACCCCAATTCCACTTGTGATGAAAGCCACACCCTCATTGAAATTTCACCATTGCATGGCGCATTAATACCACACTGTCAGCCATAGGCTTGACCGAACTTGCTAAATTGCATATCGTGCTGCATATCGTCTACATTCATATGCAGATTCTTAACGAGCTAGCTCTAACCTCTCTGTAGCACATGGCAATTTGTCACCCTATTAATCACCGCTCCTCTCTCTAATCCCCCACACCATTTATGTATTACATTATTACCGCCTCAATTTATCATAAGTATTTTTTTTTTTCTATTTTTTATCGAGTTACGGATTACTGGATAATTTAGCCATTACTCATTGAGCACAAGGTAATTTCTTGAATCGATTTGAATATTGATTCAAATATTTAATCCAAAAAGAAAGGAGTTATGTACTTGCTCTTTCGCTCTATCGCCCATCCTATATACAAACGCAAATTTCAAACCCATCCTTCTGACAATGTGGAACCCGTTGGTAGAAACTACAGCTATTATTACCTACGACGTTTCGCCCGTGGTTTTGTCCGTGAATTATGCTTTCCTCGACAACAGCAATAAAGCACAGACATGCCAAGGACAAAAGGATGTATAACCGTTGGTAAAAATCGATGAGAAAAATCGCGGCTACTTTTCGTTGTTTTACAAAAAAAAAAAAAAAAAGGGACATGAGCATTTGGAGTCATTCTTATTTTTAGGAGTATAAAGACGGACTGGTTCATTGTAAGACATCAATGGCTAACAATTTGCAGGACTCCAAAGATTTTAATTCTAGCATTGAGAAATGACATTCTTTTAGATAATACCTAGCTATTCAAGGAAAGAACTGCACATCTTTGCAGTACTTTCTTTGCATTCCTTCCATTTGGTTTTACAATCTTTCAGTCAAATATCTCTTTTCATTTGCATTGAATCTGGCTGTGGGGAAACAACAACTCTGAGGAAGTGATAAGGTATTTCTCACCATTGTCCATTTGAACATTTATTATTATCACTCGCTATCCGAAATGTTCAAGATAGAGTACAAATTGAAGGACTTCGGTATTGACATCGTCTTGATAACACGATCAGGTACTCTCTGTCTATAACAATGAGGCCGCTTCCCTCGCCTACTCCATTATCACAATCTAACTGTGTTAGTTCATACATTCGGCATTCTTCTTTGTCAATATTAGCTGATGCAAGACTCTTCGTCTCCACGAGCATTACCTAATGAATCATTTCCATCCATGGACGAAAAAAAAAACCCAATTTAATTATCATTTCCATTTGAAGAAGTAGGAAAACTCCTGAATCTACATCATTTTTTTTTTTTTGTGAACGGTGAGTGGGGAAAAAAATTGGCTCTATTCTTCCGGATCGAGCCAGACTGAAATGGATTCTATTGGAAAAGAAGAAAATGAGAAAAAAAAACGAAAAGTGTAATTAAATGAATTGAATGGTAAAATCAACGCTTTCATTTCATATCAATCAACCGAATGAGAAAAACTGAAAATGAGAAAAATGAGAATGAGGTAATTTAAATAGATCCGGTGATTGGATTTCGGAGGATGTGAATTAATTGGCATGGCCAATGTGCATGTTAAATGTCTCTTCCCTCCTCCTGATACTTGGAAATTTCGGTTGAATAAGAGACAAACGATTCATGTGTAAGACAATAGAGGCACGGTACAAGCATGATATGAGAGAGAAATGTATGCAGTAGGGATGGAGAAGAGAAGAGGCTTGACAATGACAGACAGCGAGAGACACTCAATCTCATCCATTCCCCTTGCACCATATTCCGTTGAGGCTCAATAAACCATTAATTCTTGGCTTATATTTATATCAATAGGCTATCACTATTTGCCATTACTTTGTCTTACTTTTCCCCTTTGGAATATCTCTGAAGGTGGAATAGTAATAAATATAAAATGAAAGAAAGAAATTGAAACTGCAAGTGAGTGAATTAGGGGATGATGACTCTGTTTAGAAAGATGCTTACCGCATCTTTGCCCATTGTACCATTTTCAACTACCTCAGAGTAAGTTGGCTATGCTGGCATTGTCTAGTGAGGGAGGAAGTGAGCATTAAAGAAATAAGTGGTTGGGTTAAAGAACTGAGGGGAAATAGAACAGATAGTACGTGTGGTTTTGTGAGAAAGGTGTGCTACAGCTGTATTAGACTGCAGGGCTGTTTGCATAAGGAAGATCTTTGTTGCAGTACGCGAAACGTTCACCCGGATTACTTGAGGACGAAAGAGGGACTTTCACACCAAAGAGAACAGAGACGAATCTATTCTTTTCTCCTCCTGAAATGTCTCTTGTTTTACCGTCATATAGCCACCTATATAGCTTAGACCCTTGCGCAAGGCGCCATTGTAGCTCATGAATTTTCGGAAAGACAACAGCGTTGAAGCAATATCATTTCCATTGGCCCTTGTAGGGTCTTGTAGGGCATTTCACAATCAACCACTACTAACAATAATCATCGCTCAATTTTATTGATAGTTTATTTGTCAGCGTTTTGAGAGTGATTATTTAGTTCGGTCGAGGGGATAATATTCGACGATTTCTCGTGAATTTCTCGACTCTCTTCTGTCATGTTGCCGCAGGAAGTTAGCGTATTTCCGTTTGGTCGATTGCTTTGTCCTCGAATTGGATTCTCCAAACGATAGAGTGCAATGCAGCCCAGGGAGTGAGCATTTATACGGTGCTATTCCATTGTGACACTGTCTATTTCGAAACGAGACTACTCAATGCATCGGGTTGCTCTTCAAATGCACGCCAACTGACCTATCACGTCGCTAATATCCCCTAACAACGAGTTTATTTATTTAATATATACATTTACATTGTTCCGTGAAGTTGATCATTTAAGACGAGGAGGAGAAGGAGGAGCCAGTGTCCCTCTCGTCTTACCTTGTGCAATATCCAAATAAAGCTCATAATCTCGCTGATATTTTCGTGATGGATGATCGATGGGGGGCCAGAGTATGGATCAATCATCTTGAGGAGAATGTTTTCGACGATTCTTCAATCATAGTTCATCTTCATTCAGCCAAGTCTAGCATTTATTTGAAATCATAAAATAATAATAATAATAATAATAGTATTTCTGTGAATGATAAAATGGCAATTGGAGAGGTTTGGCAAGTTTTTTTTATTCCTCTATATCCTCAATAATAACTTGAATGTTCCCTAGCTCTCAGCTCTCCAGACAGCGATAACTCGTACTCACGAGGTTGCCCTGCTGCCGGATGGAATAAATTCTCTTGGTCGCTCTGTGCCAGAGGCTACCTCGACCCATACCACCCTATACGTAACCGTGCGGAAAAACAATGAAAACGCTAACGCTCCAGAACTCCAGGTCCAAACAAAATAAACTGCCTTTTCAAATATACCGCACCTTTTTAAAGGTTTCTTTAGGCAAATAGGCGCAATTCCTTAGGGTGATCCCTTAATGCTAGACTTACCGATCATACCATTATATCGTTGAATTATAATTATAATTATTGAACTGAATTTTATCACAGCAAATTGCAATACAAGGGTTATTTATTTGTCGGAATTATTTTTCCCGCAATTCAATTCGTCACCGGACAATACAATGCATTATTTACACATTATATGAAGCCCGGAGGTTGTAGAGTGGTGAAACCCAAAGATGGACGGAGAAAAAAAAAAAAGATTGAGGAAAAGAGCGAACATAACGGGATTCTATCTACTGTACCGTCAATATATATATATATATATTTTTTTTTTTTTATTCAAAATTATCCCTTGGGGAGTATAACTTATCAGCCTGTCTCATATCGTTCTTTCCCCACGTGAAGTCAGCATGATTAACATTTTTCTAAATCGATTCAACAGATTGTATAATCTCGATCCTCTTCATCTATTAATAATGGAAATTTTTTTTTAATACGATACCATCTGCCTTTCCGAGATTTATCGAGAAATTCGATTTTTCCTCTACTTTCTTCTCCTCTGTCTCAGTCATACTAATTTTTCCCCTTCCTTCTGCATCTCTCTTTCTATTTTCCAACACTTCTCCGATGATGGCAATCTTCCATACACATGTAATTCACATATTTTAGCATCTGTGAATGTATATGCTTGTCCTGGAGACCGCAAAAGGCAACTCTTCACGCTCATCCACTTTCTGTCTCAGTACATATATTTCTCAGGAAAATAGTGAGAGAGGGAAAAATGGAGTATACAATCCCCCTAGGTGCTCTCTGGTGCTTTTGCATTCTCGTATAATTTTCTCGTTGAGCTCCGGTGCAAATTCCGGACAACGGACATTGAACTATCCACCAAATCCAGAGATACGAATTGTTAGGAGTAGGTGACGAAATTTGTCATCGTGTTGGTATACGAGAAATTACGTTGGTACAAAATATTTAAAATTATTGTGAAGTGTAAGATATTTGGTCAATTCATTGCTCGACGAGGTTTGCTTGTCAAAATTACAGCGACATTCAAAGGCATAATCAATTTCTACTTATTATTATTAAATTAGTATTAATCCATATTAATTTTCCGCTATTATTCCGATAATTATTGAATTTAACATGAAAATAAGTATATCGATTAGTCTAATAGCGTGCAATTGAAAGCTCCACACGTATTATGAATTCACCCCACTGCCTGCGACCTCAATTAAATTATAGTAACGAGAAAATACGTCATTCAAATATCGACTCTGCATAAGTATTGAATGTACATTTTGACGAATATCGAAAGAAACGAATGGAAATTCATTTTTCTGCTTTTTTTTTTGTTTTTAGGGTGACAAGAGCGTGTTGTTAGCAGGTGGGTAACGGTGACGTGCCCGAGGCTGCGAAAAAATAGGCAATACAAAAGAGCGTCACACTACATCTGAGTACATCTGAAAAAGTAGGTGACAAACAAACGAAGCAAAAAGGAAAAGCAACTACAGAAAAAGAAAAATAAAAAAAAACATGACATATGCCAGACTGTGAAAAATTTATCAACGGCATTATATATGAAGAAAAAGTTGTCGATATGAAATTGTGGCTTCAATCTCGGATTACTAGTGCTGGTTCACAAGAAATAATAAAAAGGACAGAAAAGGTGTAAAAACATTGAGTGACGAATAAAAGTAGAGTAATATGTCTTAAGACATTGAATAGAACGTGACGGCATATCGAGCCTCGATGTAAAAACGTGATGCAGAGACTAAAATGTCATGAAAAGACATTTAATTGGTAAAAACGAGGAGGTACAGGAGATTAGCCCATGATAACTCCTTTTCAAGCCACTAGCCACTAGAAAAAATTGATGATTGATAGGCGTAACTGGTTGAAGATTGGTTAAACTTTGAAGATTGTAAGTTGGGAGGAGGAATGCGACAGTTTCCACAGGCTTGAACACACTAAACGCTCCAAGAGTCAATCTATAACAGCGGGTTAATGACAATTGAATAGTTCAAACGAAAAGATGGAGAATAAAGATGGTGAAAAAGATGAGATTTGATGGATTGTAGTGGGAATTGATGCAGTCAGTCCTGCGGCAAGGAGCCATCCAAGCTTGGTTTAATCGTTCTAGCGTAAAGAGAACAGAGGGCAGCCTGCAATCGATACCCTGAGTACATCATAATAAATTCGATGAGCAGTGTAATTATGGTGAGATTCATGGGGCTAGTTAAATGGCATTCATTGACCCAGATAGTATCTTACCTTAAACCGAAAATTCAACGACAATGATAAATATCCTTGCGTGACTATGTAAATAATAGAATGTAAATGGGGCTATTGCCCCACCACGTAGTTGAAAAAAATTTTGAAACAGGCGATATTTGGAATATTGAAATATAAATAAGACGTTATTTAAGGTAAAGAGAATTGAGAGCTATATGAAATATTGAATTGAAGGAGCGTAATGCCGTCACTGGAGGACATCTACTATCCAACGGAGTATCCGTTCAACTCGACCATTTGGCCGGACATATCAACATCATATTACGATAACGATACTAATGCAACCGATACCGGTGGCAATCAGTTCATTTTACCATGGTGGCGTCAAATGATCTGGACGGTTCTATTCGTCGGTATGATCACTGTTGCAACTGGTGGCAATCTCATTGTTATCTGGATTGTTCTCGCTCACAAGAGAATGCGAACTGTTACCAATTATTTTCTGGTAAATCTCAGCATAGCTGATGCCATGGTCTCCACCCTAAACGTTACATTCAATTATTCCTATATGCTGAATAGTCATTGGACATTCGGCAATTTATACTGCAAGATCAGCCAGTTTATCGCTGTTGTCACCATCTGTGCAAGTGTTTTCACTCTCATGGCCATCTCCATAGATAGGTAAGTGCTTTTATCTATCTGTATATCATTATAATGAAAAAACTTGTGGCTATTTCAAATGGAATAAGGGTATCCATTATTTGTGATTCTATCTCACCGAGCAAATTCTCTCCACATTATTGTTGCAAGCAACTATATACGAGTTTGCAATGACGACACAGCCTTTTATTTAGTTGTTTGACTTATCGAGCAATTCATATCAAGATCTGTGTCAGGAGAGCTGAGTAAAATCGCTGGACATTCCAAATCTTTCGTTCTCTCCTTGTCACAGAGTAACAAAAAGTAACGACAATTTCCCCCCATAAAATTTTCTCATCCTCTTTGCTCTTACTAGGTATCCCTATCCTTTTATCCTTTCAACCTCTATCGTAAAGTTTACTACTTCTAGACATTTGACGATTGACCATTCACTCGTCTTACTCTCTTGAAACAATATTAAACCCACCGCCTGAGCATCCCCTAATGAAAAAAATATAATGACATTGCCTTCATATCTTCGTTTAAATGCTAAATCATCCACTTCCGTAATCAGACATTTTAAATTCTCCAATTGACATTTACAAATACAATAAGTATTTGTAGATTTCTCGAGTATTATCAAATTTCCTACAATTTTTTCACAAAAGAACCTAAACATCTTACGGAGCTGATTCAATACTGTACATTAAAACATACAAAACAATTATTGTAATTAATCTCTCAAGGTTTACCGATGGTTTTGTGTGGCTGTGTGTGGCTATAGGTAACTTAAGAGGGTCACGATGCAAACACATCCCATTACCAAAGCTTGCCCCTGCAACCCGTACAAACCAATTTCCATTTGTTGCGAGGCTCACTGAATTCTCAAAACACCTACCGTTCATTTAGAATCTAACAACATTACCCACGTGTTTAGATTTAATTCACCGCATTATATATAGAGTAAAGAACAGTTCAATAATGGAAAGAACTACAACAGAGATGTTCCGCCTTTTTCCCATAATATTATCTTGGAAAATTAATTTACCCTTGATTTTAAGAGATAAGAGCCACTGATGTTCCCGCTAATAACTTGTCGTCTTCTAAAATTTCATAAGTACATTTTGACAGGACCATTAAAGCATCGGACTGACATACTAAAGCCATGGCTGAGAGTATTCGATTTAGAATTTACATGAAAAATTTAATTATATCCATATGTTCCCTCATACCAGATAAGACAAAGTACATTATGATAATTATCTATTCCCCTAATTCCATTTGAAAATTATTCAAACTAATCCCTACCTGCTCTGGGTTATTATTATTGATTTTCGGGTGGTAACTTACCTCACGAAATTGTTCGTTGACCTGCAAATGGTGGAGGTTGATGGGGAGAGTAGGTAGTGACTTGAGAAGGTGCACTCACTAGTGGAATTATTGCTGATTTAACTAGAGTGCAGAGCTTCACACTCAATCAATTGGATAGTAGCATTGGGCTGGAATGAACCTGGGACAAATAGATTCAAAACAATGCACTTTACACTTGGTTACATTCTGTCTTTCAGAGAAATTAATTCATTTACCGATTGATTGCACTTATCATTCCTTTGTAATTTTTTCAATGACAAAGTTCTTCAAAACACTTTCATTTAAAATGGAATAAATAATTTTTCAATATGTGATATTGAACCGATTACTACAGGTGGTAACTTCACTTTTAGGGTAAATGGGAGCTTTTCCGTTTTCCGTTTTCGTTTACAAAATGTGTAGACTTACTTTTCAACAATCACATCATTCAATCGGAATGAGCCACGATAAATATCACGATAACCACTCGATTAACGGCTCAAATGTACCGTAATCACTCACCTCAATGTACGACAAAATCTGCAGATTATCCAATTGCAATAGAGTTGTCCAAGATTCAAAACTCGGGAGTAATCCTCTCAACAGTAAGCACCAGATCTTCATATATACTCCAATAAATTCAAGGTAAAAGATGTGAATAAAATGGGATGAGATTGAATTTGTTCTGTGGGGAGAAAAAACTTATTTATCATGTTGAACCTTTTTCGTTTTTCGCCTGACGATAGTCTACGAGAGAGAGAGAGAGAGAGAGAAAGAGAGACAATGCGACAGATCGATAGATCGCATTGACTGGCATGTGTATGAGTGGAGTGTTGCCAAGAAAATTCCTTCCGTAACTACTATCTGTAATGCAAGCTTGAATAAAAAATCGACTCGATCATGAGAAATGTGTTGTACTGGTTGTACTGGACTGAATCACAGTGAGTTCATTTCCTACTGGCTTGCCCATCTCTTTTTCCCATCCTCCGGTTCTAACGTGATCACGAGAATTGATCTCGTACCACTCCTATATACGGAAGTGTACGTACACTCATTCTCCAAGAATGCCAGCATCGAGCCACTGGGCAAATTCAATTTTCCCAAATCATCAGCGTGCACAACATGCAACCTGCAGAACTGCAATAACTGCTTAAACTATTGGCTCCTCGATAAGTTAAAGAATAGCTTTGATTAAGTTTATGAAGGGTAGGTTATATATTTCAAATTATTTTGTCAATTGATGGAAAATGCGCGATTGTAATGGTAGAAATCGTCGGAAAATTTATTATATTTATAAATTGCGAATAAAAGTATTGAGAATCATGCAGTGTGATCCGCTAAACTGCAAGATCTCAGGTGCATTATCCAGAGTGTAAACCTGTTGAGTCTCAACCTGTTGCCTATTTTCCAACAGGGAGAAAATGTCATAATTGCAAATTAGAGTGAGCTTTAGAACAACATTATCGAGAAGTATATGAATATAGCGAGAGATATGCGTTAATTCAGCTTCCTCAGTGCAATAAAGGAAAAATTGTTTTCCACCGTCGGTTGAAGTAATTCCACTTGAGCAACATTAATTCACGACTCAGTGAGGCATCTCCTACGTGGTGGACAGAATTTAATGGTGAAAGCTCTGTATATGTAGGAGTGCTATTATCGAGAACGTGTAACAAGAGTAACAATTACAACAGCAGTAGAGAATTCGGTTAACGTAAATCACAATAATAAAGTCCAATAGCATTGACAATTGACACGATAATTTCGTTGATTTTTCCATGATCGTAAATCATTTGTCACTGGTAAAAAGTAAAAAGAAAAGATAGCGAGTGAGTTTGATTCAGTTGAATGATATATAGCATTTTAAAAAGGTTTAACGGAGCATTTGGGAGTCAACTGCAGTGAAGAATGAATACGCGATAAATTCGTGGCATATGATTCCAGAGCTGACATTAACTATTGATGGTTGAAATGAGGGGTTGTGCATTGGTGAACTCGTGAGATGTGGAATGTGAATGGAAAGCCACGCATTTCGAGTGTGGCGATAGTGAGCTCAAATCAACCCTAAATGTGATAATGATACTGATGAAGTTGAGGATTCGAGGCGCTATTGTAATGGGGATAATGTGAGATATTGCAACCACTAGTAGTTGTTAGGTAACCGAATTTGAAGGGCTCTCATAACCCTTCGTGATAGCCCTTCAAATCTGAAACAACAGAACCACGAGTTTTTAGGATGAGTCAAGTGAGATGATATTTGAATGAGGTCAGTCTCAAACTCTGACAGATTGTTGGTCTTGCGAGTGTAAAGTTTTCTAACGATAAGAACTTTGTTTGAAATTGAAATAGGTGTGAGTTCCACTCGAATCTGTGGAGTTTAAATTTTCCGAGAATATTCTGAATATTCTACTGTTTTGTACTAATATGAAGTAAGGATTGAAAAGGCTTTTCCGGTGGTACGGATGGGGGGTGAAACTCTGATGTATGGAATGTGATAGTAGGATTTGTCACTTTTTATTCTTTTATATGGCGTGTAACGGGTTTCTCGTAGGAGACACCGGGCTAGCTTTATAGCTTGATGCAATAAAAAGCTTAGGCAGAGATACACTCTGCCAAGCTAGACGTTACTCAAAGTGTCAGTTTCCCTCGTATAAATGATAGTCATAAAATGAAGGCATGTACAATTTTCACCTGCAAATCTCCTCATCCTTCTACTATTTCCATTAGTTTCCATTTTCATATTTCAACTAAAAGCAATTCCATTCAAAGTCTTTTTAATAATTGTTTGTAAACTCCGTGCATGATTAGTCAAATATTACCATATAGGTGAAAGTTCAATTTTGAGGAGGAATTATTTTTACGAAATTTTTTTTTACATTTTTCGAGATTTTTTGTGGTGATCAATGGTGTTTTTAAGATAAACTCTTCTGTAGTTGTTGCCCCTGGCAGCTCCTCATGGCGGGTAACGCTCAACTCGTTTCTTCTTTACGTTCTAATATGTATACCTTCCCCAAGGTTATATAAATCAACCAATGCATCTGTTCCAATATTTTGACAGTCTCGTTGAAATCTCTCCATGAGTTCAATATTTTCGTGTTCTTTAATAGATTATTCATATATTACTTGAAAAACTGGTAAAAAAAATTCAATGCCTTCAGCACTCGTTGATAAATTCATCCGTAAAAATTGTTATTCGCATTTTCTCGTTGAATTTATCGTGTTGATACAAACGACCGAGTGAAAAGTGCATTTTTCAAGACTGATGTGCCACCATAAATTCAAAGAGTCGACGAATAGGTAAGAAAAAAAAAAGTTTTCTCGAGTGATCTCACTTGCTCGAGCTTTCCCTATAAATAGTCCCTGGAGTTCACGTATTCCAGCAATACTAGGATAATTCAAATATTCATGAAAATTGTGATTGAATTTGCGTCAGTGTAAAATGATGAAACAACTTGTTGAGAGAGAGCAAGAGAGTGGTAACAGAAGGCATTTGCCTGGAAGATTTTTCTTCGTCTCTTGTATGCAGCTTGGTGCTCCCTTGGAGGGCATCAGAGTGCCCAAGCACTTACTGGCTGAAACATTAAAGCTGACGTTCGTGGATGTTTTACGACTATCCCTGCGACTTTCCCTTGGCGAAGAGAAAAAAAAAAAAGAAGAATGGGTAATCCCGGGGGTCCAGCCGAGTACGTCTCTACTTTAGGAGCATGTGAAATTTTAAAACGAGCAAACACTTCAAGAAACTGTTTTTAAACAGGAAAAATTGATGGTGGCATTGGACAACTTGGACATCACTTAGTGTGTGATTTTATTGTGTGAATGTGAAAATTTCAAAGAGCTTATTATACCGAATTTGTCAATTCGTGTGCGATCATCAAATTAAAATGTTATTATCTCTTAAGCGACAGCCATAAACTTGGTGAAGTAAAAAAAAAGAGCTTTATCAAGGTAAATAGAGTCAATTAAATACTAAAGCCTACGGGGAGTTTAAAATAACTGTCGGACTGGATGTGAGGATTATCCCTTTCTCTAGGAAAATAAGGAGAAAGATTGGAGGTGGCTCATATCTCCTATCTCGATAGTCACAAAGTAACCACCGACTAGGGACTGAAACGGCTATATGTGTACACAATTTACAAGTGGATATATATATGGTCATAAAAAACCCTTGGTTATATGTTCATCGAAGGATCATTTAATGGGGATATTGGTTAAAAACGTTCAATTTACTTTAACTCCTTTCGACCTAAAACTGAAATACTGCCAGTGAACAAAAAAAAAATAAAACAAACAAAATCGATAGTCCATCCCAATGAAATTGCCTTCAAAATCTCCCATTGATTGCAGTTTTTTTTATTTTTCATCAAGTGGTATTATTGCAATTTCCAATTCGCAAACATCTCACGCTGGATATTTTCTATTCTACAGCAATGAAAATTAATAATAATGAGATTGCAGTCCGTTGATGCTGATAAATATCAAAATAAAAAATTCAATATATATTCTATACAACGAGAAAAAAGTCAAGAGTTTAAAGAGAGGAACTGGAGAATTGGATTGATAAGTTGATTAACATAAAGGACCATAAGTGGAAATTAATGAGTGTAAATGCAAGCTTAATTGGATACAGCAGTGGTCCACTAGCACTCGATGATTATTCAATTGGTTGTAAAATTCATCAGACATGGGTCGAATGGAAGCATTGCATTTGTTCCTCCCACACCTTTAGCCATAGGATTATTCAAAGCGTTTGGAAGGGGAAATTTATTTGAATAATCATGAGTAGATTGGAAAAATATGCATTTATGCAAACATTTTTTATCTATCCTCCGGCTGGAATAATAAGAAACATTATAATAAAAGGAGCAAATTGAGAATTAGTTTGAAGAATGAATCGAGTCAATGACATCAATGAGTATTTTATCAGAAAAATACTTTTGTCTAATAAAATTAGTGGAATTGGTATTGAGCACGTTTTGAGATAAAAACGTTTGGTGCTGAATTTTTTTCATCCTTATTCATGTAACCACGATATATACGTGGGAAAAATGCCATCATCGAGGTCAGGCGTGCTTTTAAGCTTCGGTTATAGAAATAAAGGAGTAATGGGATGAGAATTTTATGAGAATAGTATGGTTAAATTCATCATGAAGGAATAAATTATTGAGAGAAGAAGAGAGAAGAAGCCAAATTGAGATTAAATAATAATACATTCGTACTTTTAATAGAAAATAAAAAATGAATAAATATGACATTGTGTTAATGAATATATTTTTCAGATACATGGCAATAATGAATCCTCTGAGACCACGAATGGGACGACGCTTAACACTCTTTGTCGCTATTGCAATTTGGATTATTGGCTGTATACTTTCACTCCCCATGCCCATATACTACACAACTTACACACAAACATTTTCCAACGGTGAAGTGAGAGTTATCTGTTACGGTAACTGGCCAAACAGGACTGACGATGGACTCAGCTACGACGAATACGTGTGAGTAGATTGTCCCAAACATACAATTACTATTTATATATTTCTGTAGCTATTTGAATTTTCGAGTTTATATCTATGCACATTACCATGAAAGTTTAGAATGCAAGGCAAAGTAAATATGTATGTATTTATAAAGGGGCTAGAGGCAGAAGCGAGGTAGACGGTGAATATTACCGTGAAATTTGCTAGTATTTGCACAGTATTAGCCAAACATTCGTTTTACCAAGTTTCTGCCTAGTTGATTTTCAACTCGTCACCAACTCGTCACCAACTCGTCAGAACTGGACCCCACTGGCATCAACTCAAATATATTGAAATACCCAATTGGTAGAATAAATCCACGTGATTGTATTTTTTTAAATCTCACTTTCATCATAAATATAATCAATCTTAAGGTACATACAGAAAGAAAAGAATGAGAGAAAAAGAGAGGCTGGTGAAAAAGGGAACGGATCCCTGGAGCCCTCGAGTTGTCGGCCCTCAACCTCGTTGCGATGAATAGAGTAATAGAAGACCCGACGCCGCAAATACCTTTTTCACCACTCACCCCAAAAAACCGGATGGGAATCTCCTGTACTCGCGACAAATAGAAAAAGACGTATCCAGTGAAGCATTGCTTTCGCCATTTATCATCAGCTTAAAGACAATACGTAAAACTTGAGAACAATTCTAAGGCGCCTAGTCATATAAGAATGCCAATAGCAATCAATATCCAAGTTATCGGATATCCAAGTTATATTATATAGTCTATCTCTCAATAATTCAAATGAAATATTAGTTGAATTGAGATAGAAAATTGATTTAACAAATAAGTAGGGTGTATGTTAATGAGGATAGCCACTATAGGTAGAGTGTGGCCAAAGGATTGAACCGCTGGAGCGAGTCCTTGAGGTTATCCTATGGTACACGTAGATCCAATTTCCCGTCCCACTTGATTCGAATCAGCTAAAGTTAGAGGAACTTGCTCACAAGAACCGTTACACTGCGCGTATGCCATTAGCGCTGTGATCACAATTCTCCCCTTCTACACCACAACTTTAAACTTATAATCTCTAAGCTTTTCTACAATGCATTGTGTTTATTGCGTTAATTGCGCTCATTCGACGCTTCAACGGAAATACCTAAATTGAAAGCCAATCATTCAATCAATATACGTCTTGCATTGCCCTCACATTCATATTCGCTCTCTGCCTTTACGCCCCGTTAGAATCAATCTCCTTTACGTTACCGGCACAGTAACACAGTAGCTTGGGTAAACCAAATCCCAACGCTTCAATCCACTCAAAACAAACTTTTTTTTCTCACAGCCCCCACAATCGCATTCCTTTCAATTGGCTTTTATTAAATTTATAATTAAGCGGATGTTGAAAGCTCCAATGAAGAGTTGCAAGCTTGCTAATGAGTTTATTAACTCAGTTAATGCTCCATTGACGTTTGCCGATGGTAATCACCAAAGCCATCACTCCAATCAATGCCACGCCATTCTATTAAGCAATGATTGATTCATTGTCGGCAAATATTTTGAGAAAAAGAAAAGAATATGAAGAATGAATAGCCAAATAGCAATGTGATATTTGTTATTTGTAGATACAACGTTGTATTCATGATCCTAACGTATTTCTTACCAATTGGCTCGATGACATTTACATACGCCCGAGTGGGTCTTGAGCTGTGGGGCTCACAGAGCATTGGTGAGGCCACTCAGCGTCAATTGGACAACATCAGGAGTAAACGGAGGGTGAGTTACACATCGCTACTATTAATTACATTTATATACTAAAATTTAACTCTATGTCCTCAAGCACATGGATACAAGACAAATCTCGTTAGCTTGCTGAATTAATCTCAATTTATTGGACTTTCCAATTCATTGACTTGATTGACCAATCTCGACAGTCAATAAATGGTGTCTATTTGAATAAATAGAGCACTGAGTGAAAATTCGGAAAATTCAATTAATTTCATCGCAAAATGTGGTGAAGTTATATATGGATTTTTTTTTATTCATATTTATTCTTCTTGATAATTGAGGAAACAATGAAAAAATGATTCTCCTCTCAAGCAAGTATTCAGCCGTTTCGCCGTTTACGTAAACATTGTCACTCTACATAAATTCCCCAGATTCCTCTCTAAAGCCATGGCAAAGACCAATTTACTTTTCGATGCTGACCTGACAAGGATTAATTATACTGTGGAAATTAGTCATTAACCGCTGCAAACAGTACCACTTGAATGGAAAAAAAAAATGGATGAATAATTTAGCGCGATAACCGGTAAAAGTCAGTGTAATCGTGATGCGAAGATATAATAATAGGTACTAAATAAAATTCTATCCGTGGAAAGCGCTACTAATGAAAGACTAATAAAAGTCTTGCGCTTTTCACTTATCTTTCTTTGTTGCTTGGAAAAGTATAACAAATTATTTCTCAGGAAAGGGACACAATTCTACAATTTTTTTTCAAATAAAAATGGACTTTCATGTGGAATTTTGAACATAAAATTGACTTGTAACAAAGTTTGGAAGGTTGAGTGAGAGGATAACTTGGAATTGGTGGATAGCCAGTGGGCCACTTGCATTGGCTCCCTTACAATCCCCCCAAAATGCCGGGCTATCTCAGCCAGAGGCTATTATTATATAAGCAAGCATCAACAGCGTTGCACTTTATAATCCCAAAGCAGCGAGTTCACTCGTGGAAATTCCGAGACGAAATTCTGTCATGCCTCATGAACTTTGAGCATACGTCACACTTGCCTTATTAAGTTGGTCAGGGAGTCTCGCAATTTAGAAAGAAAGCTTTACTGGTTTACAAGAGAATTTCCAAATACCTTGAGAATTATAAAGATCTTATATTGAAAAAAGAGAGTTAAATAATCCGGTCGTCTTTCTAAGAATGAAAATGATGGAAAAATAAGGTAACTCTTCAATTTTTTTCAAATAATATTACCATTTTTTATTTGTTGTAATTCTGATTCCAATTTGATTACCTGGGGTATATACGTTCAGATTGTACATGACAGACTAGCCACGGAATTTGTTATAATGCGTAACGATGGTAGAATCGGTGCAACCGAGGGATGAAGTTATTGTTCAGAAGCCACCAGCGGGTTATATGCAAATCACTGATAACAACGTATTACAAATGTCCCCTCCCTTTCTCTTTTGGAGAAGAATCTATGTGTATTATCCTGTATGTATTATCAAGTCACTTCATTCGTACTTTAAATGTACCCTTGAAATACGGCTGATTAAACTCATTGCTTTACTACTGATTTCCTCCATGGCTTATCATCTGGGATGCCTTGATTTTTCGTCGTTTCACATAAAATTTACCACCTTTCATCCTCCTTTAGCGATTCTTTGACGCTTTTTAGCGTTGCTTTTACAATTATGACGAAAGGACATCGCAGTGAATGGCGCTTCTTGCCTCTATCTCCTTGAATTTCCTCTTTTCAAACCAGAAATTCCATTTCCTCAGATGCATCCTCTTTGAACATTACCTACATGTAATTGTTCTAATTGATAATACTCTTTCTGTAATGAGAATTTATTCGTTTCATTTTCAGAAAGAGAAACATCAAACATTTTTCCATTAATTTAGCCTTTAAGTGGTGAAAGGAATCGAAAGATGAGTAAAACCACAAATATATTTGTGGAATATTCAAGAGGATAAATATAGATTTATATGGATAGATATAGATATAGATTTTATTTTGAAATGAAAATATTTTAACGAGGTAGCACTACAGCGTTAAGTAACTCGGGTGGAGTAGGATTGACGTGGAAAATTTACGAGGAAAAGACACACCCGCTGATGTACACACATGGCGAGTTTGGCCAACTTGAATCTCCACTCTATAAAGACGTGTTAGGTGAGCACACGTTTCTCCATAAAATTCAATCGAATTTAACGTTCCGCACACTCACACAAATTTTTTTCTCACCTTTATTACGATTTCGAGCTCTCGTTCACTCCCTCAATTCAATGACAATGGGCTTGTTTTATGATTGCCATTACGATTGGTGCACTCGCTTGCAAATGCCACCCAGATAAAATAAGAATAATCACCTGTGGAGGATTGACCCATTTCTGCGCATTTTGTCTTAGTAACTTTTCCACTCATCTCACCCACTTACCATCTTATATTCTTCACTTCAACGACAAACGTCTACTCGTCGGGCTTTTTCTCCCACCTCGAGATACACTTATCACACCATCTTCAATCCTTCTTCAATTTTTAGCTCTTTCAGGTGCGGTCTTCTATTTTCTCACCTCCACTAGTTTTATCAATTAATGCTCCGACCAAGGAAAAATCATATTTTTCTTCATTCCTATTAAATTATGACTAAAACTCACCTACTGACTCACTCACCTTTTTTTTTTTGCCGCCATTCGAATCAATTGGGAGCTATTGTTTTCTTCTTGCAAACTTCTCTTCATTATGAACAAACTTGGGAGATAAACCATTTTGTCTCTCCTTTCCTTATTCAATAATAAACTTTGGGTGAATAAATAAAAATCTAAAATCTCGAAAAAATCTCAAAGGTTTCATATTAGCGGGCGTAAAATACTTCCTTTGCCTTTTGCCCGAAATAAAATTCCAGACTCAATAACAATTGTGCATTCGCTTTACGTGAATCGAATTTCTCCGTGTAATTACACTTGAAACCAAAAAAAAAAAAAACGGAAAACAACAGAACGATTGGAGAGGCGCAGATGGTGCTTCGTTAATTAAAATCTTCACTAAATGTGAAAAAGAAACGTCCAAAATTGTGGCATTCCCATAAATGGATGTCCATGGAGCAAATGAAATGGAAAAACGATTGGGGAAAATTTCTCCCCTAGAGTTTTGGAGATGACGAATTGATGGGAATCTCGTACACGTGTAAAGGCCGTTTCGCTTTGCCAGTCAGACTTAGAGAGGTTGGGAGAATAGCTCCACACCCATAGCCCACCCCCGGTGTCGTCCTTGCTCCGGGGAAAATCCCATTATAATGCTCCGGTCGTTTATTTTACGTAACGTTCAGTTCACGTGATCAATGAAATAAAAAGTTGGAAAGCATCCAGGATTCTTGATAATACCTTTTCTCTCTCTTCTTCCTTTTTTTTCAAGATTTTTACACCGCGGGTTAGCACAAAATATCTCGATGTTGAGTTTCATGAGCAAATGCTATATGACATGATGAAATAAGATGAAAAATTTTCATTCCGAATGTTTCAATCGATTAAATTCATTTCTCCAATAAGTTGAACACGACTGGAGCTAAACTACTCATTTCTATCCGTACGAGAAAAAGTTTTCTTAATTTGATGAAAAATTTTCTCTACCTAGACAGAAATTATTGAGTAATTATGAGTAAGGATTGGCTTGACATGATCATCTTTTTCTTTTCAGGTGGTGAAGATGATGATCGTGGTAGTGGTGATATTTGCAGTTTGTTGGCTGCCATTTCACGTTTACTTTATCGTAACTTCATATCTGCCCGAAATCACCAATGAACCGTATATACAGGAGGTCTTTCTCGCTATTTACTGGCTCGCTATGTCCAATAGCATGTACAATCCGATAATCTATTGCTGGATGAATTCGAGGTATTTCCAAAAAAATTATTCAATTAAAATCTCGATAAGAATTTTTTTTTCCATCCATATTGAAGGGTTATCATTTGACAAACCGGTAAAGATATAATGACTAATGTTTCGAAACAATTTCCACTCAGAAATAATATGTGGGAATAATGTTCAGGAAGGGAGAAACTTTAAATTTCCTGAAAAGCTGGTACAGATTGAGTTTTCATTATGTTTTTTTTTTTGTATGGTCAGTGAAAAAAAAAATATAGAAAATTCAAAGCTACTCTACCCACTGGATTATTATTGTGAAGTATGAAATAAATTGGGTAACAGGAATTGAACAAGTTATACAATTAAATTTCAGGATTTATAGCTAGTATGTGCGGATATATAAACTCGCAGAATGCCAGAAACTTGGAGATCCTGTATAACCCAGAAAATCTCCAACTTTTCAAATTTACAAACTCAAAGTCCTTCTCAGTATACATGATTACGAAACTTGGTTATATTTGAACAAGTTTAGTGAGGAGACTCTGGAAAATGTGGATGTAGGAAAAAAAAATAAAAATGTAGTGGGAATGATGGGGGCTTGATAAAAACGAGTATTTTTTTTTTTTTGCCAACCATAGATTTCGTCGTGGTTTCGCGCAATTTTTCTCCTGGTGTCCTTTGGTGAGTGTTAGCCCAGAACCAGGGTTATCGCGTTCAGAAGCGGTGACATCACGATACAGTTGCACCGGGAGCCCAGATGGGCACATGAGAATAGGAAGAAACGGTACGTCCACGTGCTCGTCCTCGGATCAGAGTTTGTGCACCATGGCGTCAGGCACGCTTCGCCTGGATTCATTTCTGCACGAGCGTGGTCATGTTACCACCATTATAGATAATACACGTGATATTGATCTCAGCGAATTCACATCACCTGTCCATCTTTAATTTATTGTTCTCTGTACAGTTATTACTCCATGCACTTGAATTTTATTCCATTTATATAATTTGTTCCATCATTTCTAAATTTGTGCGCTTGTGTAAGTAGTTTTAGACATGTAATATCTACATGAATCAATAAAAATGCTTGGCTCGATAGATATAGTCTTTAAATGATCAATGTAAACTCTATTGAATCAACACTTGATTTTATTTTTATTAATGATAATGAAGTTTTTCAAGGGGTTGCATCCTCTTTGAGCTCATAGAACCTGACGATTGACGCAAATAGTGATTGTAAAAGCTTCAATAAAAACACTCACTGTGCTCAATTAACCATAATTTTCTCTCGAATATTTGTATTGTCACCAGGCACGGTGCGGATTCCACTGCACCTGCAATCATCTCGTGGAATGCAACTGGGAAACAACAACAATCGTTTTCCAGCTCATCACCGTGGTCGAGGTAGGCGATGGAGGGCACCACAGCCCCGGGGTCACGTATCTTGACAAGAAGAGGATTCACAAGAACAACAACACCAACGAGTACACACATGGATATGAGATCGATCCAAAATAAATAAGTTAAAATTTAATAAATGTCTCTCAACGATTCAATAGGCCATGCAGCCGTTTTTCACAGACTGGTACAATGAACGAACTAGTTTATCACCTGTTGCACTTTTTTTTTCCTTTATTTTTTATCAATATAGACAAAGGTTTACGTATTTGGATCAACGGACCAATAATCTTAAATTCAATCAAAATCATTTTCTATTGTAATTTGAAGATATTATTAATGTAATTGGAAAAAAAATAATAATACAGGGGTAATATTCGATAGGTAATAACTAATATGTGTGTACATATATGCAAATTGTGAGAACAATCGATGTTAACGTAATGTTCTACAAGACGCCTAGGGATCGGGGAAACAAAAACAAAGTGCTTGATTAATTCTTCTCCTTTAATGTATGTTATTTGACGAGTGTCTTTCAAATTGTTATCATTTGTATATTGGAGGAGCTTATTTGAGATTATTGTGAGATAAAATATTCGATAGCATGATTGAAATCATTATGTATATTTGGGACGATGATAAAAATCGTGCCAAACAGATGATATCAAAAAATATTCTCCATCGAACTCAATAAGATTTTTCCAGTCCTCTTTCTACATACTGTGACTTTTGTATAGATGAAAAATGAACAAGAGAATTAGAAAATTCCGTCACCTTTTTTAGCTCATACAATCATCACCTGAATTTTCGTTTTCTTAGTTACATAAACATTAAATTTAATAGATACATTTCTCCAATGCAAATAGAATCAAATTAAAAGCATGATTATGAAAATTCTGGGAAAACCAAACGCTTTTTAAATTTAATACGAGGAAATTTCTAGTCATCAAGGCTAAAGAGTGTGACTAATAATAAGAAATTAAACTTGTAGGATATGTGTATTTTAACGTGTCACGGCAGATGGAAGAAATTGGAATTATTGAAAAGAAATTGTGAATAAAAAATATTATAGGCAGCTCTGTGTGGATCGTGGGGCTGTGAGGTACTGAGATAGAACTTAACTGTCATAATTACGCGCCGTGAATTGTGTACATGAATTTAAAAAAATTTTGATCCGAGAGCTAAAGGAAAGACAAACAACCAAAATCTATATCTCCATCATTCTCAATGACATGTGTCATTTTATCTGCTATGATTGTATCCTGGATGATGCATAGTAATAAAAGAAGTACCTAATTTTTTATTTCACTGAATAATATAATTTATTGCTTTGTAAATACAACGAATAAAAGGAGTCAAGTGTAATATAATGCAATTTCCACTGAAATAACTGGCGACAACATGATCAACAAAAATTTCAGATATTAGTAATTACATTTTATCACCTTATCCGAAAAATATTGAATATGGAAAATCATGAAAATATTCGTTTGAAACGACCCCATCGTCCTGGATCAGGGTAAAATTTAATGGCAACCCTGCCGCTTCTCTGATTGACAACACTCCATATGGCGCAGGCAAATGTCTTGGGGTCCATTCTATCGGTAAAGAGTTTTCCCTAAGAGATGAAGAAAGAAATGAGAAAACCAATTTTTATCGATTAAATAGATATTATTTCTACATCTCATTACTTGTAAATGGTCCATCTCATGTTGAACTATTTTCGCCGGCCATCCATGACCATTCCACGTAAATTCTTTCCCCGTAATATCAAGTGCTTGAATTTCAATGGTTTTAGCGCGAGGGACGTGCGCAATGTAGCCAAATACGCTGGCGCATGATTCGGGATATGAATTAGTATGATAGTCAATAATCTTCATCTTTGGATTTATGAATACGGTCAAAGGGACTATTTCCAGTGGCTGGCCCGCACTTTTAGTTTTAATACATTCTTCGATCTGTTGTTTGGTCGTTTCGATGGCAAAAATTTGGGCCGAAACACCGATCTGGGGTGCTGCAAGGCCATACGCCTCATGTGATCTCATTATCGAGATCAAATGTTCGACAAACTGAAAAATACTCATGGTGGATTCTGCTTGATAATAAATTCATTTGAATCTTACCCCTTTGAATTGAGCAGTGGCGAGGATTTCCGGTTCAACAGGCTCGGCCCTAGTGCGCAGCACTGGGTCACCAATCTGACACACGTGGTTGTACGGAGGGATAGGCTGTCTTGGCGATTGGAAATAATTAAAAAATGCATTTCTCCGTTTTACAAACACAAATTGTAACGAATGATGCCGAGATAAAAATGAATAAAACACTTTTGTCAACATCTTATTATTAAATTGTTAATTTAATTTTGTTTTCATCATCAAGTCGAGAGTTGTAACTTGTTTTGGACACGTGAGCCCGTAACGACCGTAATATAACAGGAATGGCATTGAACAGCAAGTGGCGCCTCCATGTCGATTACTAAGAGTAGAGGATATCTGTGATGCCAGCAGTTGATTATCCAAAAGATTAATTTACTTATTTAAATTCAAAAGGTAAAATACAGTAACTCCAGGAATACCGTTTCCAATACTTTATTTGTTCATCAATAAAATGATGATTCTCTTGAAATTGATCATCAAGCTGGGCCGCCGTTTGATTCTCTCCAGTTCTCTATTTTACAATCATCATTTCCCTTCATTTTACTTTTACAATATTAACAAGTGACTAGGTAGTGAGAAACGACTCTCATCCTCAATATTTATCGTTATAAAACAAAAAAACACAAACGCTAATCGTAGGCACATGATTGATACTTGATCGATTATTATTCTATTTTCTTTTTCTCCACTGATTCCTTCGTGAAAGCATTTCCCTCAGGTTACAATACAATTTCTTCTCTCCGAAAATTGGCAAATAAACAGAAATCGAAGAAATACTGAATTTCTCCCGTCGTAATGCATTATTCTTCCGCAAATTGTAGAACGTAATGAATAATTAGAGATATTCTCATAATTTAGTCGGTACGTTTTACAACTTTACAATCGAGATCACAATTGAAGTTTATCCATGATTTGTTTTTTTTTTCTTCAAATTTCCTAGAATGAAAGAATGATGACTTCAATAACAACAGAATAATAAAGAAAAAAAATGTAGGATCACCGGATATCCGTGGACGTCATCGCACGCCTGGTCAATGGTAAAAATCCCAGAATAAAAAAGAAGCTACGAGAATTGAAGAATGATATATCGTGACATCGACTGTAATCTTCAATGCATTACAGATACTCGGCCATTTTTTTCAACCCCTCCAACATTCATGTTCCTTCATTCATAATAAAATTACAAGAATAAAAGTCGTACGCATTTATATTGCTTTATACACCTATTTACAACGTGGTAATACGGGACTGCCATTTATTCGAGCAAATTGCAATGGAATTTTCATATAACGAAGAAAAAAGTGTGTACGTGCAAGGAAAAAGAAAAGCTAAAAGATAAATGAAATGAGTAATATATTCAGGATAATAATGAAACAATAATAATAATAATTAAATAATGCTTCAGGACAGTCCCATTGTTTCGTCGTATTTCAGGCATACAATAATACTAGTGATTCGTTCTTTTCAGCATAAAATTATCCTTTTTTTTTGTCCTCATTTTCATTAATTTTCTCTAGCTTCAGGTATTCAATGATTCAATTATCAACTTTTGTATCTACTAAATAGTGTAAAAACGTACACAAAAGCTACGAGGTAACTCGTTTTGTCGTACTTTTTACATTTTCAGTCTCATGGAGTTCTTCCGCAAATTTATCTACATAATAACAAAAAAGAAAAAATAATGATCGGCCACATGAACAAACGCTGCCTAACTTTAATCTAGCGTGCAATCTCTCCTGCTCACTCTCTAAAGTTGGTCAATTTAATTTGTGCAGTGACTCAGGAGTATGAAAAATTTTGCGGACAGCGGCTCATTGGAATAAAAAGGCACAATCGTCGATATTTTAGTTACATATTTCATATTTTTTGTTCGTCTCAAATGACTTTGTTGCTGTAACAGTTCCCCTAACAGTCTGACGGATATGGAATACAAATTTCAACTTCATCGCCGCGAGGTTACAAAAATCCACTCAACCCAGATTGATATGTGGTTTTTAAATAATGTGAGATGGCGTTACCGAAGGGCGTATCCCTAGGCTTTCTCATCGTCACGAGCAGCAGCATCTTCATGTCCCACGGGACCGTTGAACCCCCATATATATTTTTTTTTCTCTCTCTCTCTCTCTCTCTCCCTATTCTTTTTTTACATCCAATCTTTTGCTCCTTTTTTTCTACTTCCTCTTGCTCTCTTCGCAAGGCACTCACATTCTTCCCCTTTTTTTTATCTCCTTTAAATCCTTTCTCTGTCGTGCACACAACCATTCGGTTCACGCTCCCAATACAATAAACTATCTTACGATATAGGAAAGCATTGATTACTGAGTTGGAAGGAGTTTTTCATAATTTTCGATCAGTGTCAAAAATCAATAGATTTTTTCTGATTATTTTTTGTTGTGTGTGTGTTTGTGTATTCATCTTCTTCTTGAATTTAGAAAGAGGGTCAATAAACGTATATGGTTTTAAGCTGATCCTTGAGCTCTGGAGGAATGGCACATGTCTCTGTCTCTGGTTTTCTCTTTACGAGACGACGCCAGCGTCCACCAATGTTCTTTTTAATGCCTTTGGCAAAGCCGGGCCTGTCTGCCTGTAGCCCATGTACGAGAGTATCCTGGTGAACATAAAATTATTTCTGCCTTAATTATTTGAAATTTTAATTGCTGATTTTGTAAAAGTGTTTTGTGATATTGTGAAAATGGTATTATGGTTGGTCTGGTTTAGTTGGGTACAATTTCAAAGTTGAGTGCATCGATTTACCCTCGGTAGACGGCAGGGTCCCATTGGTTCTTGCAACCCCTCGTATATACAACCGCCATTTATTCCCCGGTATATCTCATGTGAGAATAGAGAGTGAGAGACTCACTCGTCATTTACAGCCCTCACCAGTGCAACGATCTCAGGCCAACAGACACTGGCTGTGAACCCCATAGCCATGGCTGATCAATAAAAATATTGTCTACTTTTTTTTCCTCGGTTTGAAAATTTTATTCTTTCCCCCTCCCATCGATTGACAAAAATTTCCCAGTAAAAAATAATAACCACTAAAATATAACCCATGTTAACGAGCATTTGGTTTGTATTTTTAAGCCGAAAAAGGAAGTGAAACCACGAGGCCTAGAATTTTAGGCTCATCGAGGCCTTCATCGACTCTCCCCAGTAATTTCGCATCGACCTCCACCATTGCACGTAATCAAAAATCGTGTTGCATAATTTTCCAAACTCTTCCATTGGGGAATTTACTTGTGAAGAAAGTAACAATAAATTCTGGAGTAATATTGATAGAATGTAGGGGGACCTGGAGGCCTGACGAAAATGCCCGAGCAGAGAGCCTGAATGAGATTAGTCAGAAAGAGACTTAGTGAGAGATTGGAAGAGGGCAAGGAATTTCAGCCCAAAGTCCCAACTGGTATGAGATGTAGATAGGAAAAGAAGAAGAAGAAAAGAGGACACAAGGGAGACAGGAGCGAGGGGTAGATACAGCTGGCGGTATGGTGTCTCCTCGTTGACTGGTGAGCGTCGGTGTCGTGTTAGCCGCCCACCCACGCTAAATTTAGCGTCACGTTGCAGGCCAACTTACCACTAAAATGACCACGCATCACACTTTATAGTCTGTACTCTACTCTACTCTACTCTTCTATCCTTTTTCACTCTCGTCTGGCCTTTTTTTTTATATGCTGTTCCAATGAAATTTTAATGCTACCAAGAATCGATACACACCGTCACACTGTCGAGACTCATTTCAGACGAATTTAATACATCTATTTGAATTTCACGTGGGCTGCGTCTTTTTCAAAAGCTCGTCCGTAAACTTTTTTTTTTCAACATTTCGAGGGTAAATTTGATGAATAAACCTGACTGACAAGTGGAGCGTGAAACGGTGAAAAGTAGTCGACAGTGGCAACGGTGTTGTTCATTTAAAGTGGGGAGTAGTTATAGGCGTTTGGTTTAAACTTGTGGCAACGCTGCTGCTACGATTGTGTATCTCAATATATGATTTTTTTTGTCACTTCGTCTATAAGACAGCACTTCATGGTCGCTATGGACGCTGGCGACAAAAAAATTTTGCTCTAACTCAGGTGAATGCAGCCTCATAGTCGCCACTGCAGTATCTTTACTATTTATTATTATTTCTAATTCGTGTATTGTCCGGTAGAATACAAGCTGCACTATTTTATTAATAGTGCTAAAGTCGAGTGTGTAAAAGTCTCAGTCTCAGGGCTCCGTATTTCTCGACACGCGCGGCACGCGAGGCCTCGTCCTTGGCCAATCAATACCAACGCCAAACTCATTAGACAACCCATAGTACACGAGTTATTTAATCAACCCCCCTCCCCCCTCCCCCCTCTTTGCAATTTTTATCTCAATTTTAATTGACCATTTGCTGTTAATTTACTAGTAACTGGAGTGAGTGGTGTTTCGGGGAGAGAATTGCAAGGATCAAGTCAGCTGGCGAGGTAACAAATATGCCATTATTTTTGTTTCTTTCTTTTGAAAATTTCACAGAAAATTTCATTCTGAGGGAAGAGGGACAATTGATTCCTGCCAAACGCGTGAGCTTAACACTTATAAACTGAATTCTAAAACGAGAAAATATTATTGGCAGTAAGGAGCGTATTTGTAGCGTTGTTACGAGCGTGAAAATACCCACGTGATGCGCACGAGCGTTGTTCCAACTTTATAAACATGTTTTTACTATAATCGAATGGATATATTACACGAGGTAAAAATTATTGCTCCCGAGAAAAGTGTTTGCTAGTGTGATGATACTTGGGAACGATTTGTTTTGATTTGTATAGTGTTTAGAAGGCAATTAGAGAACTAAAATGAGTTTATTTACCTGGTCATTGTACAGGGTATACTGTGGCGGTGGCGTTAGCGGTGGATATGGCGGTGGAAATTGCCAAATAAATTGTTCAGCAGTTGTCTCGGTAACAAAGGTTGTGTTGCCATCAATAATACCATTACTAAGCTCACTAGCTGTTATAATTGCACCGTTATTAACAATGCCGTTGTTACGTATATCTCCAGTTGTTGTTATAAGAGTTTGGGGTGTTGGTGTTGTGGGTACGATAGTAGATACTGGTGTTGCCGTTTGCACTACTGATGGCTGCTCCGTATGTACCTCATCGTTTCCATGATCCTCCCTCTTCCGCAATTTACTGCGGACAAGACGGATTGCAATCATCGTACCGTTGCTCCCAACCATTTTAAGGTAGAGGCGGCTTAACTTTTTAGCTACGTTGGAAGGAATTTTTTGGCCGGTTATGGCGAATCCTCGAGCTAGTCGAGAACTCTGACGTTGTGAAAAAAAAAAATAAAACAAAGGAACAAGGCAAACTATTTCCTCCTTAACAAGTCTCACTCTCTGACTTGTAAATATCACTTTTTATATTTTCAATGTTTTCTTTGTACTTTATTCAACGTGAAAAACACTTGGTCAGTTGCACTCAGTCACGTATTTTAATAAAAAAAATACCCAAAGTCTCGTTGATTTGTTGGTTAAAACGAGGGCGTTTCACAGTTTTCTCTCACTCAAGGAGCACAAACACCACCAGAGAGTTGACTAGTTTTATTAATCCTTGGTCTTCGTCCTAACTTGTTTATCGGTTTCTTAATGTTTGTTAATTGAACTAAGTTGTAAAGGTTGATAGGTGAGGGCTACGTCGAAGTGAACCTGTAGGTAAATTTTCCTCCCTCACACAGTGTGCGAGCTGCAGTTGATTCACCACGGCAAACGTCGACGTCTACCACCGTCGCCTCGCTACTCATGTCTCGAGCCAACGTCAGTGCTTTCTCAACTCAGTTCAACCGCCAATCCGCTCTTTATACCGTAATCCGCAAACCCTGACGTCATACCACTACCCCTACCCATCCACCCATTGGTCGACAATCCCTTCCCCCACTCTCGCCATCCTACTATATTCTCCTCCTCTCCTACCCCTTCCCCCTACCTTTCCCCTCTCCATTCGTATTCCTCTTGCCGATCGTCATCAACCGCCCTCAAATATTATCCATCAGGAAAATTCACCAACAATTAAGAAGCCTCCTAATCCACAATTACATTATTGAGGATAAACTCTTTCCATGTATTCAATTTTCGCTATTCCGAGAACCCGGCAAACCTCGCCATTTTTACAGACACTCAATAAACCACAAGCGCCAAGAAAAAATATTGAAAATATACAGACAAACCATAAACTAGCCCGCGATTAGATTAGTCCTGTTTGTCTTCGGGGAACTACCAACTCGGTTCGAATGCCGGAGCACGTAAACGACAATATGCTTTGGTCAATGTATCAAAACAATCATCGACCAGTGAAAAATGAAAAATTATGGGATACGGATTTGCACTCGAATGTCGCAACTTAATGCAATGATGACCGTTGGAGAAAACCCCAGAATTAATCCAGACGAAACGCCCTCGATGACCCAACAGCTCAGATTAAAGCGAGAATCGCGCAAATCAGAGGTATTCCTGGCTTTTATTTAGTGGTTAAGACAGAATTCAATAACCCTTTACTCTTTTTTTTCCATGTGCACTACGTCCTTTGCTAGACTTGTACCTAACAATTTCATACAATTTTCTCGGTCTCACTCATTGGGCGGATCCCCGATGTACATGAAGGCGCCAAGAATGGCTAATGTAATTTCACTAATGAACTAATAATTCTCATGACGGCAAATTGCTCTTCCCTCGAGCAAAGTGAGTGCAACGACCGATAATAACCACAGGATAATTCTCATTAGAAAAATTTCATCATCCCTATCTTTCACAAGTGGTTTTCCATGTCCCAGAGGTTTTTAGTAGGCAATATTAAAGCGATGAGGGTATAATGGAGATATAAATGTGTCATAAAAGTCTATTTTTAGCTTTGTTTGGAAGGGATGAGGGTGTAATTTCCTGTTAGGGGGTGTCTTGTTCAATCCTTGGATACCCTGACAACATTGGAATAATATTAGTAATAAAAGGCGACAGCAATCCATTAGTGATGACGACGCGACGAGTATTATTAGGATGCCATTGTGCGAATAAGAGGATTTTATAAGAGCCTTTAATTCTCGATAATTATAGACTTGCTAACTATTGTTAATTTCATCCACAATCCAGATCTGACAATCCACAGTATTTAGTGGGGAATGTTATTTCATCATTGCGACATCATTTCATATATCATAATTCATTAATGAACAGTTGTTCCCGGGAGATTGTTTTTTTTTTTGAAAAGGAAGACCTTTGTTTGGACACAAAAATAGATTTTCAGAAGAGAATACTTTTTCAGTGGTTAGAAGCAGTTTCTTATCGCTAAGTAAACCAACAACCCGAAGTTGTGGGGAAAAAATACTTTGGGGACTTTTACGTTCGAAATATTCTTCCTGTTAACGTTTTTTTTTTCAAAGCAAACATGTAGTTTATGACGTAATAGAGAGCGTTTGAGGATTCTTCGAAATATCTCTATACCTGGACTTCCCGTATTGATAAAAGATGTGCATCTGGATTACGTAGTAAAATTCTTGAGGTTGAACTTCCTCTGTATTTAGTCAATAGGTGAATAAATGCAAAGGTAGTATGCATGTGAGAAATGGAAATTCCAAGTTTAGCGATAATAAGTTATTTATAAATCATGACAATCGAACGAATTGACAGTAAAATTATCAATGAGAGATTGTGATTGACGAATTTCTCCTGAAATTCGTATTTCTGGAGAAGATAAATCATTTTATCACCTACAAGTTGTTGGAATTACCACAATACTGAAGTGGACGCTTCCGCATTTAATTGGATTGACAGATTAATGGTTAGTCATCAATTGCTCCTGTAATAACCATTCGAACTTCATAATTGAGAAAAATAAAGATGATGGAAATTAAACCGGAGTAATTGTGCGTGACAAAGACTATTCTGTTAGAATGTTATTCGAGCGAGGGGCAGTAGAAATAATAACGAAGAATAAAAAAATAATGCAGCCACAAATTCACACACTTATTTCCAAATATTTTTCATTTTTCCAAATCTTCCATTATTTTAATTCGATAGTTTTTTACGTTTCGCGTTTTTTCGTCTAAACATTCTGTCATCTGTCTTGCACAGATATTCCATTCAAGAGTGAGTAAAGAGGCTGATTCACTTTATTTATTGTCTTTCTTCTTCGGGTTACGGATTTGATTTCGCATCATCGAAAAATTTCCACGTAATATGAATTCAGTGGAAACAACTACCGCCGTTATTTTCTGCAGTTGAAAACATGTTTTCATCTTTATCTGTGGTCTTTATACTTACTACTTTTTTTCTGAGATTTTTTTTTTATTTCTATACGAACCGGAACTTGCTACGGTATTATTCAGTAGTTTGAATTAAAGGTGTCTGAATTTTGAAATTTTTGTTTGTTAATTGAAGATTACTCAACTTTAATTTATGATGATTTGATGACTGATGCGATAAAAAAAATGTGAAGTATCGATGTAAATTTCGTCGTTAATCTTTGCGTGACGTCTGTGCAATGTGACGTGAGTATATTGAGGAAATAAACATCTAACTCCATTTAATTATGAAAACGGAGATTAAAAGGTGAGACTCTCCAATCAAACGAAACTCTGAAAAAAAAGTGATAAATCAACGGTAACAGAGCACTCATTTGGAAAGAATGTTTTGGTATTGTTGCGAGTGCAAAAGCTATTGGCTTTATGAATGAACAAACGAGAGGAAATCTTCAAATAAATTCAATCAAACACTCGACACCTGAATTCATACAAGTGAATTTGTCAACTTTACTGCTCCAGTATGTAGCAAATAAAAATAATATTTACTCACTTTCCCCATCTCACTTAGGCCTTTTAGTGTTAACCAAGTGTTAATCCGTTGTGTTCAGTATGGAAAAAATGATAGGGCATATACCGGCCAATTATCTCATCCAATGTTCAATGTCAATTGAATAAATTCATTAAACATGCAATTACAGAATTCATTTGAGTCAACAATTACCTGATTGTAACGGCAAGAAGAACAATAATTACACCGACCAGAATCATGGCAATTAGAACCCCACATATCATGTAGACACTATCCACTGGTGGATCTGAAATAAAAATTCAACACATAAAATCGGTGCCGAATTCATAAGCGTTAATGTGATGTTTGCAGTGATGATTGATGATTTTTTATATTGTCGCTGGGATTTCGGGTTAGTGTTACAACATATGCATCATAATGATCCCTTCAACGCATCGACAATTCATTATAATCACGAGATTCTGCAGTGGGAAAAGATAATTGAACGATCATGATGATAATTGGGCCCTAATGCTTGATAGTTGAAGATTGTTCATTGTATGATAGATACTTCCTTTGTCTTTGACAAGCAATAAACAATCTCTAGCCGAAGGCAAGGTTACGTGATATGCACCGTCTCTGACCTTCCAATAGTCGCATAATCGTACAATCCGCAAACCGGAGGCTGTGATATTGCGAAAGGGAGTGAAAGAAAATAACAAAATGACGTTGATTAGGTTTGAAAACCAAGGAGAAATATCCAACACAACATACAGTCATTGGATTTATCTCCATCTGAAAAAAGGAGAATTTTTTGCTGTTACTCCAAGTTTTTCTCTTAGTTCACGATATTTAACGCTCTTGAAGAGTACGTATATCGTGGTGATTCAGTCGTCCGTGTCCTACATGTGAGACTCGAGTGAATGTAATTTTCTTGAGAAGATAGGTACCATGAAAGTGACGAGGCGAGAGCCAAAGGTCTACCCCTCTTTTTTCTCAATATTTTTTTCATCATATTCAGTCTATTGCCATTTTTAGCATTATCAGTGGGGGGTGATCCTCAGTTCAAAGGCCCAAGGGTTATTGCCTCTCAATGAAATTTGAATCCACTCCATTTGTGGTTTTATTTTCACAATAATTTGTCATATTTCATCTTTCAATTTTTCTTTTTCCATCTCGTCAGTTTTCTTTTATTTCCTGAATAACTTGTCACGTGAATAGTGAAACACGTACAATATCTTTTAATGAGAAACACTCGTTTTTATTTTTTTTTTGTTCCATTTTGATAATTCTTCCTTCACATAAGATGGTGGTGACTGTTGCGATTTTGGATAGAAGCCAGAGGATTATGTGCTACTGATAAATGATGATATCATCACTGAAGATGTTCATGGAGTCTTGGGATAAGTTACCATTTGATTTTAAGAGCCGCAGTAATCGGTTTGTTATCAAGATCAAGCTCGGGACTCTCGGGGAATATGATGGATAATTAATGAGAACAAATATTATGGGCGATGTGGATATTTTGTTACATAAAGTAGTTCCGGGGAAATCCCAAGTTGAAGATGATAATGATAGAGTGTAATCGGTGATGCAATCATCCGATTCACAAGTAATATAAGATTTGGCATACTTTTGATTTAACGAGTGCGCAAAAAGGATATATTATCATGATGATTAAGTCTTGAGTGATAGGTAATCTTCAAATATTGATTAAATTCCATTTGATAGTGAGCGATTCTTGTAATTAGCAAAGAATAAAATTTCACTCTTAAGATTTCACTGATGAATAAAGATACTGCAATTTCTGAGATTGAAGAGATATTTTTTCAATGAATAAAGTTTTCTAAGCCTGTTTCTCTTGTTGAAAAATCGATTTGAGTGCCGAAAGAGAATTGAAATAACTTACAACTAGAACGTAGTTTAAGAACTGGCGCCATGCACCCGAGGTGCATTGCCCTCTCGATACCATCAAGCCTCTCATAAATTCATCTTTTTGCACCGCCTAAAATACATACCTATTGATTTTATGATTCTTCGTACTGACATTTGTCACTTCAGTTTCATCTGGTAAAGAATATTTCCGTCGCAAAAAATGTTCAATTGAGGTGTGGAAATAATAATATCTCGTTAAGTCCATAAGACTTATTATTTTTCGTCGCGACAAACGACCAGGTAATGACACACATACGGATCTCATTAGATTCGAAAAATGGAAAAAAATAAAATGACTTGCTACTACCTGGTTCTCCTAATTTTATGTTGAAACGTCCAATATAGTCCGAGAAGAAATAAAAAAAAAATATCATTTCTCAGTTCAATACAATGAGTCATAAAATTTTCATTACTTTTAAGGATGAATTTATTTGTTTTTTTTTTACTGATCTAATATTTTTACAATGTAGTAGATTACCAAGCGAACAATGTCCAAGTGCAAGATGAAGCTCTTATCGGGTGCTAATGAACTTTATCTGAATAATGACTCAGGCCGTTGTAGAAAAAATTGTGGGAAAAAAAATGTATGATCAATGGATAAAGATGACACGTTTTTCACATTGAAGGATAAAACAATAACTGATTTTGAAATGGGAATAAAATGTTCGCACGCTAAGAGGATAGGCAGCTTGGGCGCATAAAGTAGGGTCAAGTGAACCTGAACCCTCGACAGAGACACTCGTCGTTTTAACCAGTCTTTTAAGCAGATATTTTCTATATGAAAACAGTAGGCTTTAGTTTTGTCCCGGACCTAGACGACGTAATCGATCCAGCCAGGCGCAAGCAACACTCAATTCTCTTTTTTAAAGAGCACCTCACTCACCCTGTCCTTCCTATGGTCATCTCCTTTTCGCTTCTTTTGAAAGTAAACCCGGACCTAGGCAAAACGGAAAAGGGTGGCCCGCGTGAAATTACACGTTGAGTAGGCCATCGTACGTTCCCAAATAAAAGTGCCCCAGGGCTGGTCAATTGCACCGGTGTACACTCCCATAAAAATTTCCCATCCCTCTCCTCACTGCCAATGTTAAATCGTTAATATAGTATATTTTTGTCTCAAATAAAAAAAATCATCTTGCAACGTGAAAATCATGAGTTAAAGCCACAACTCGAAAACTTATACTTTCTACACGGATAGTACTGATGTCTCGAGGACGAGCATTCAGGGTCGAAGCACCCGACAAAAGCCCCCGAGAATAATAAAACGAAAAAAAAAATCCCCTCTAATTTTGACTCCATTATTTTCGTTTTCCTTCAGTCTGAGTTTTCGGGGAAGAATGACGGTAATAAAAGAATATAAAATCACGAACTACGGTATTTTCAGACTGGTTGAAGAAATAGCCGATACTACGGCTGAGTTATACAGGTATATATAGTATATATAGTTGGAGGAAGGAAAATGATGAAGCTTTAATCTATTTCAGTTGCGAGCGCCTGTGGCCGACACACTGGACTTGCTCGTGACTCCAAACCATAACATTTTAGCCCCTAGCTGTGTATACACTGAAAATATTATCCATCAATTCCTTTTGTTATACTTCCTTGATATTAAAATTAATCTCTTGCAATTTACCATAGACATGGGTTTGTGTAACAGAAGGAAAATAAAAGCAGTCTATTTCCGGTTGTAGTGGAAGGCTATCTGAAAATTTCACGCACGCTAATTCTAATTCACCACTATTATAAACTCCGTCCCATGGCCTCCTTCTAGCCAGACGTCATCAAATCATAGACAGTTCACTGATAACAAAATTACGTCAACTCCTTATTCCCTAGCCAAAATTGCTAGCATAATCATTAGCATATTAAACTTGAGAAAATTTGTGGAAGTGGTGGATATTCGGCCTAACTGAATTAACCACGCGATAACTCGAGTGTACACATGTCAAAGAAATCCATGAAATGAATTACCAGTTTTGAAACATAGCATGAGATATCTTGCCAATAAAAGTCAGTGCAGGCAAGATTGCGGGGGTGGACATATTAAACCGGGGCGAAAGTGAAAGTTGGACTTTTGCATTTGTGTTATGAGGACGTACGCACGTCAGTCCATTTTCGGGGTAGATGCCCATTAATATTAACAGATAAAATAGGTTTTGAATGAGGAAAAATGAAATGGTTTAAGATGTGGGGATCTAAGGAAGAGATTGTGCGGCACTGGCTGCAAGATGATCCGATGCCTGCCTTTTAACGCATTTGAGGCCAAAGGGGGACCCAGACCATCTCAAGATATTATTATTCTTAGGATGAATAAAGGCAGAGCAAGGCAGAGCAAGACAGAGCAAGGCAGAGCAAGGCAGAGCTCTTCCCGTTTGACCATATGTCAGGTAAACCTCATGGGAAAGGTTGGGGCAGGATACTGCAGCGGGTATTTCCCCGAAAAGGGGCTTTGTCACGTCCTGCCATGAAAGAAATTTTTTTCAGGTACAAACTGAAACTTGTCTACGAAAAATTCCACAGAGAGGAATGACAAATGAAGTACATACCGCTCAGTGTGAAACCCATGCTATTATCACGTGGGTTAAGTCACTGCCTACGTCTCCAGAGGCATTACGAAATTTCCCATTGCATTATGGAAGCCCCTCTTCCACCAACTTCCGTGTTAACAACAAAACCAATCGATTTGTCTGTCGGGTACTATTGTACTGTTCTCTGCAATGAGTCATGGAGAATTCCACAGTTCAAGTCACCCGTCTCGCACGTGGTTGCATTCCGAGAAAAAACCCTCAATCCTTAACTCAAACAGCAAAAATTGAGTTAATGGAGTTACTGAAGAACCACATTACTAGTTACTCCTCAAAACCATCTGCTTTCTTCCCCCAATTGTTCCAAGAATAAGGCAACAAGCGTCACACGAACTTCACGTTCTCCGTAATTTGCAAATCGATTATTGAAAATCTACAGATATGCCTGATGAGAATATCTGACGCAAGATTGTTTATTTATAACCGGGATTTCAAAGAGCCGCGGTTCATTGGCCACTGGGACACGGATGCGCCAATTATGCGTCATTGAAAGGCCCCAAGTAAACAAGATTGCTAACCCAGTGCATCGACACGATCATTATTGTTTTTATTTCCATCAATTTTCTCCACTGAGTTCACCTCCAGCCCAGCTACCAACCTGAAGAACCTGCTCTCTCTGAACCACAATATCATGAGAAAGAAGCTGGAGTCCTTCGCATAAATGCTGTGGATATTCTATCCTTGGTCAGTTTTTGTTCTTTACATTTTTCATTCTTTAACTTTTATCTTTTTTACGTTGGGGATGATACGACTGAGCTATTTATAGATATTCTCATACAGGTAAGTGTAGTGACCGCGATGCAGGATTATTCGTTCAGAAATAGCAACCTTTTAATCTAAAGTCTAAGTCGAATAGGCTCCCAACCCCATTATATTATCAATGCTGCTATTAATGTTTTCATACTAACGGTTTATGGGATATAAGAGGATACAAACAGCTTCGCTTTACTAAAAATAAAAATCTCTCTGCATTGTTAAATTATTCTATATTTTCGAGGATGCTGAATTTAATGGGATGATACAATCTAGCTGGGAGATGAGAATTTTCCAATATCACGATTATACTCGTGACATTAGAAAATGTCAATTGCTTTAAAAAAAAATCTACATATTTTTTTCAATTTTTTCTGGCGCATGCCTAAGCTATTCGTATAAATATGTGTATTTTTTAAAATTAAAAATCCAATCCATCCGCCCACTCTCCAAAAATGAACAGTATTTTTAATTATCCTCGATTACTATAACCCTGATGTGAAATGGTATTACGACAACTCGTCATCACCCAAATCCAATTAAAACGAGTGTTATTGTAATAAGAATAGTAAAATGGTATGTGACGTTGGGTGAGCCAAACTGCTGCTCGTCTCTTCCACAGAAATAACATCCAGATGTGCAACATGCGCTATTGAAATATTATTGAGAAACAGTAATATTCGGATGAAATTGTTATAATCAAGTAATCAAGACTTTTTTTTTATATCAATTCTTGGGAATTTTTCCATTGAAATTCCAACGGCGACGAGGCTAACCGGTTCAATGTTCTCTATCTCGTTATATACACGTGGCCACAATGTATAATAATGAGGAAACCCAAACATTAACATCAGTATTAAAGTTACCCGCCGTATCCATGTCTCGTTTTGATCACATCTTTGGCGGCTGCGGAATTTCTCGAGTTCAGAGTCGTTAAAATTTTTCGGCTCAATTAATTGAAATGATCGTAACCATTATCCGAAGATTCTTGAATCGAGTTGAAATTGGCTGTGGCTTCCACGATTCCATACACTGACAATAAAAAATTAACTTGGTACAGCCTTGAAGAACGATCGACAAGGGTAGTGACGTTAAATTTATATTAAAAGCTCGCTAACGATACAATGTTCTAGAATAATCAGAACATTACGTATAGTAATCGACGAATCCGTCATCGGCAGTTATCTTCTAATGTCAATTATTCTCTTGCATGCATTTCGAAAGCACCTTCAATCACCCTCGATAATCAATAATAAAATAATAAAATGGATACATCCTTGAAAAAGTATGTTTTCAAATAATTGGAGTTATTGTACTTCAACTTCATATGAATGTTTTATTTTTCTCAAAGATGACAGTGTCTAATTGAGAGAGAGAAAGATATGTAGATGCAGATGACATGGATGTTTTCAACCAACCCATTATAAACTAAGATCTGCAAAGGCAATTAAGATGATTAAAGGACAAATTAGTGACGTCAACTCTTCACGATACGGAACACCTTACTACACCGCTATTCTCTAAGAATTACGTCGTATTGGAGTAGAGAGCACTTAGCTGTAAAATTTCCTTCGATAATGGAGATTCTGTTGATGGGATTGACACCTAGCCTCGTCATATAACGTAATACTATCTTCTTAGACGTCAGAGAGTGACCAACCCTTCTCCAACCTCTTTCCAACGTCATTGCAATTTTATGGCCAATGGGTTGTAAGCAAATCTGTGACGTGGAGTAGCAGTTTACTTTCGATACCAAGCATTTTTTTTTGCAGTATAGATATTATTCAAAGCTGTCAGCTAATTCAGGTCAGAAATAGTGATCTATGCTTTTTTTTATGGATGATGAATTTGGGGTGATGCAGCGAACCAACACAGACGAAAAATACGGTAAAAAAAAGCATGCCCTGATGAATAACAAATGATTAGTAATTTATGAAAAGATGTTTTAAATGGGTGCACGTGCCGCGTGATTTTTTTTTCCATTTTCTGATGACTCGAATGCACTCTTTACACACGTGTATGTCTCATGGAAAGCCAGTGACACTTATCGTAACTTGATACAACTGATGCAGTTCGTGAGGGACTCAATAGTGGCCGAGAAAGCTAAACCCCAATTTATCTTTGTTGGCAGAAGCCACGTGTGCGTAAAAATGTGGATAAAAAAGCAATAAAAAAACAAAGGCTACCGGATTTAGGACAAAGCACGTTCTATTGATCACTTTTGGCTTGATTTCCATCTAGATAAATGTTTGGCTGAAGTTTTGGAATAATTTTAGACGTCGATTCAATGATAAACGACATGATTTAGGGGTGAACGCGTGCGTCGTCAAGGTGATTCCAAAATTGCTTCATTGTTTCCCGTGTCAACATTCAATTCTCCGTAATTATTGATCAAATTTTATTTCCGGACTGGTGGAGACCGATGACCCCAGCTTTCGAGGGCAATACAGCTAATACTGCTCTAACCTAGCGACTATTATTTTTATTTTCAGTTTATTGTATTTTCGCATGATTCTCTTTGGTTGCTTGACAATCGATGGCATAAGCGAATTGAGACGACCCACATTGAGCTCAATAGGGGTATTAAAAGTGGGTCGAGTAACATGAGTCAATCATGTTATCATGTCTCTCATCTTTGTTGAGAGTGAAATAAAGATGAATGGTTAATTATCAATATCCATTCTCTCTTGGAATAATATTTGGCATAGCACTTAAGAGCATCTTGTTGTATTGAAATGTTCCCCCCAATTGAAAATATTCTTCATTTTTTTTTGCAAACCAATAATGAACGGGCAAAGCAATGAGATGAATAAAAACGCTTATTACAGGAGAACTCACCCAGATGCGAATACAATTGCAACGAATCTGAAACAGCAAAAAAAATAAATGTTATGATAACAAATTTGTGATACTGATGATATTTAATGAACATCGAGATGATTATGAGGAGACGTTAGGTTTTTATTAGGCAATTTCGTAATGGAGTTGGTATGTTGTCTCGAGATTTGTTCAGTGTGACAAGTTCAAGGGAGAATAGGAATATCGATCACAATTATTCCACCCGAGTCTTTATAATTCGCCCTTGTTTTTTTAACTGATTCATAACCATCTCTACGCAATTGATAAGTCACTCCAATAAATCAATATCGAATGAATATCCATTGATTATATTTATTAAAAGAATCAAAAGAATAGAAATAATATTGCTTTAATAATTGCAGATATTCTTGAATATTCCGAGAATTAATGGGACTGGTGATATTCCATAGCAACTTGAATTTTTTGGATAATAGTGTTGATTAAAAATGATGGATATATGGCCAGATAGGAGAATTAAATGCAACCAGACGTCGACTATTTTGGACTGGCCTGAATGGATTATACTCGAGGATGCAGACTCGAGGGTCTCGAGAGGCGAGCAAATCGAGCGAAAAACCCCTCTATTATTTCTGGCTACGCACATGCGGATATATTTATAATTACCAGAGGCCATAGGTATACCGAAGGAGGTCGCTCTCAGCATCAAGTTACAAATGATAAATTCGTTAATTTAGTCTACATTAATGTTTATTAATTGATAGCTTCATATTCTTCACGAGTAACGGTACACTTAACCGGCTGTACCCTCCTTAACAGATATACGGGGAGAGGAAATAAATATTCCTGTCGATCAAAGAAATTTCAAAGAAAATACATTTTTTTATCGAATTCCTGGCCTCCAGTGATCAGAGAGTCTGGGAAAAATGGCAAATGTGCAGTTTCCTGGATTGGACAGCGAAACACCTATACCGAGAAAAAAAATATCTGGCTTTGAAAATCATTTAATTCAGAAATCCGTCCACATTTACTTATTTATTATCACTTATACTTTTTTTTATTGAATTTTTAATATTGCGAGAATTGCATCAGTCGAGATAACACGACCCCCCGTATAGCGCATTTATTATTACAACTTATCGACATGAAATTTTTCCAATGAAATGATGAACGGAAAATTTCAGAGGAATATTTTCAGCACGACAACTGGTCGATTCTCACCGTTCAATTACACCCAATGAGACGTTTTGAACAAATGTGTGGATCACGCTCTTACGTCAACAGTTAGCGTGATACCGACACACCGAGTTCTCCCTATAGTAGCACGCCTCACAAATTACCAAATTGCCAGAAAAATATTTCATTTGAAAGAAAAATAATTATTCTCATCTTTCCAGTCAACATTGATATCTTCTGAGAAACCCGATATCGCGGCGATGTACTTGGAAAATTCTCAATATGGATGAAGAATATTCAGGCAAAACGCAGAAATTTATTCTACAACAAATGATCCTACTGCAACAATTACGTCAGTCAGTGAGCATTATCGTAAAACACGTGGATATCATAACACTCTGTCTCTGTCTCTCTCTTTGTGCCGCTTAAAAAATAATAAATTGCCTAGTGGAGATACTTAAGAGATTACATCCACTCCATTGTCCCTAAACAATCAGCACTGTCTTTTAGAATAGAAAATTATATTCCCGGGATAATTTCACAACTTCAAGCCACCCATTTATTAATTGATAAAAACTACCCCAACGCTAATATAAACGGTTGAATAATGCTGTTTTCCTGTAAAAACAAATGTTCTGCTTGTTTCCTCCTGTACATAAACAGTTTTTATTGCTTTTCTCGTTACACCTTTTTGCCTCTCATATGTTTGTGTATCTTCAGTCGTGTCCGCATTACACTCTACGTGGAATGGATGTCGTTTAAATGCACCAACTAGTCCGGACGAATTGGCAAATTGCAAGTAATTTATTGATGACGATGCGGAAGAGGGATGCGTCACCTTGCAACGGTTTGTTTCGATTATAGGTGAGTTTTAATAGAGAAAATTGCAAAAGAAATAAAAGCAAGCATCAAAGTCAAGCAGCGGCATACCGCGGAGTCAGTATGAATAATCGAAATTGCGGAAACTACAGACAATAGTCAGAGGATAAATTGAATTGAGGAATGTTCAAATGGATTAATGTTTTTTTGTGGACACGCGAAGAATGAATTTTTTAGGCTGCGGTCATTCGGCGCCACCAGATCCGGTCAAGGCTTGAAGGCATATGATGGTCGATCACGAGAGACCTTCTCCATTGAACTTGTTCCGATCATTGTGATTAGATAAAATGTTGAAAGCACTTGGCAATTATTCCTTGAAATTTAATTACTCATTGCGGCATCGATTCAACTTCATTTGTGTCAATTGAAGTCATGACAATAATTAAGGAATTATTATGAAAATTCAGCCACTGAGATAAATCAAATTTTTCCCAAGCATTTTTGATAAAACCAAGTAGATAAGGCGTCCTACAAGGCGAAATACCTCCTTGACCGTTAGGAATCGTCAGTGTCACTCGGATAAAGCCATTGAATTTCCTGAGCTTCATAAAATGCATGGAAAAATAAACAACACGATGTGTTTTAACAGGGGATTCGACTTTGATGTAGAGGTGACGATACTGGGAGTGATTCAAGCACGCAGCGATCACGTTAATTCAATTAGCTCGCATCCACTCATTTGTGAGGAGAAAATCCGGTGATGTCACCGATAATGAAGAGTGAATCGAGTAAATACGTCATTGAGAGTTGCACACATGGTTGTGTGGATGCAAAGTTTGATACCTGGGGATTATCCAAGAATTAGAGAGTGAATTAAGGACGCTGAATTTCCGAGGAAATAAATATTGCTGTGAATCCCTAGATATTTCTTCGGCTTCACTGGTAGGAAAGCCAATGATATAGTACGATATTTATTATGTTACTTAAAATATTTTCAAGTCGAGTTTTTTTTTTATTGTTGAAACCATGTCTGACATAATATTGAAGGTGAAAAGAAACTTGGCAAGTCGAAGTTTCCACGAATAGCAGAGTTAGCCGAATGATTTATGAAAGAAGAAGAGGAAAACCTAGGCGGCAACAGAGAGAAGCTGAAGGTTTCGTTACGGACACCCGCATTGAATAGTTTCCAAGGTATATAAAACGAGGCAACGGGTATCGGTCTGTGTTTGGTGAGTGCGGACGTTGGCCAGGCCGGTCTCAACTTGTTGCTAGGCAGTTCCGAGGTGGCTCCGAAGCGGCTCCAAAGCGGCTCCAAAGCCGCTCTAAAGCGGCTCCGAGGCCAACCGTTACGGCTTTCTTCAAGCTCTCTTTCACACGGTTTTTTTTTGGGGCTCCACATCCCCCTCACTAATTTCAGTCGTCTCGTTCGTCTCTTTTCCGAGAGACAGAGAGAGAGAGAAAAATGAAAATATATCCCACAGACAGACATTAGTCATTCTTATTTTATTTCATCGGCAGCCCCGGTCTCCAATAGATTATCCAGTGCGTGTCTCGGACAGCGAGTAATTTCAAAGTTTATAATGATTTGTTAGGATTGAATGAGAGTAGGTGCCATGAAAAAGTATCTGACGAAATGGGTTCGAGGTGACTTTCGTGCACAGTAAACGAGAGTTAATTCTTCAAAACTACTTGTAATTGCTTGACGGTGACTCGAGGAGTAATAGTCCAATATGAAAGCGTGTTGTCGCGTGCTTAGCGTTGTATGCGCAAGGTAAAAGAATTGAGGTAGCACTTTTTTCTCCAATGAGTTTGCGAAATCGACCTTGTGGGAGACAAATGCAAGGAATTGTTCTTGTATCTTCAGTAGTTGGATTTTAAATTTGACACAAATTGTTGAGAACGGTTGGACAGTGAAGAGCTCTAGTGATGAGTAATTTAAGGAAGCAGCTGGATATCACTAAACTCGTGTTGATTGCCTCCAGCCTGGGGGTTAAGGGGCAATTGAACCTTTGTCGTTTCATATTGATATTTTTAAATAGCCCACAATTTTTATGCTAACGTAGTTGACCATCATTTCTACAGGCTGAATTTGTCTCTTTTCACGATATTAGTAAATTGGGGGGTAATATAAATTTTATTTGATTTTTCTTCATGTGTTGTCAGTAAGATATATTCGAAAATGAAATGGATATGGCGGGAATATGTTCGGAATCGTCGATCGGTAATGCAGGAGAGCGCGATCGGTATGGTTTCATGAGTGGCGTATCGGGTGATAAGAGGAAGTCTGGATCGATAAGCGACCACCTGTTGAGTCAACAGTTGAGGAACAGGTGGCGATCGGTGGAGCCGCCTGGAGGCCAAACTCTCCTTCCAGCAAATCACTCCAATGATAAACCTAATGGTTTATTCCACTTCATTTTTCATCCTCGAATTTTATCCAAATCCAGATTTATAAAATATCCAGTAATATTATTAAAATTGTATTACAACTCTACAACTCAATGATAGATCGACAAAAACTCTCGTTTACTCGATTACTCTGATTACTGAAAAAATTTAACAACATCGAACTCCATTTAACTACATTCGGTCAACATATCTGTACTAGTTGAAATAGATTATCTTTGCAGAGTGAATGAGAAATGATTATTTAATCCGTTGTTTTTCCAATATCAATAATCATTTACAAAATCACGTATACGATGGCTAATCAAAAATTGATATGCTATGATATCTGAATCCTATTAAATCGACAACAGATGAATACTTCAAGGAAGGGAGATTAATATTCAGCGAAAACAATAAAAATTTATGTGAAATCGAAAATAAAATTCATCAATATAATTATCGATTCAATCTGACGGACTGGTAATTGAATGGGTGTTGCATAAGGAAAAGCTTCATTTCGACGAAACTGCAGTCAATTAATTCCATTAGCCTTTTCTATAAGTGAATTTTCAACGATTTGGCAAACTCATCGTTAACTCGTAATAAAGATTAAAAAGCAATATTGATGTTTTATGACTGACCAGTGTCATTGTCAGGCGCCCGAATGCCATCTCGCACATCCTCGGCGGCCGTGGAAAGTGCTGAAAGCAAAAAACAATTACAATTAAACTCACATAGACGAATCATAAAATGTACATGTCTCGGAAAGTCCCATACCTCGATTCTATCAAGACCAGTGACATTCCTTCAGTAAGGTCATGAGCTTTCTACACTACATTATGAAAATGGATAGATTTCTATTTGATATCAAACCTAAAGATCAATTCAACTTCAAATCGACACTAGGAGGATACAACCTAATAGTTTCCCGCAACCAGTTTCCTTGTTTGGAAAACACGCCTGTAATATTCATTGAGTGACAATAATCTCCACGTGTTTTGTAACATTTTTCTTCATACGATGATTTATTTTCAGTGCAGTTGTCTACTATCAACGATCACGTGAATAAGAAAAAAAAAACAAGTTGACATATTGTTTTGACAGAAAAATTGTCTTCACATTCCAGCGATTTCACCTGCTTTTCCGTCTTATCAATTGCACTGTATTTTAGTAAAATGATAAAGAACGAGGCACAAGTGAACTTATCTATTCTCCAAACTCGACAATTATTCAAGGCTCAAAAATTCTGCATGTTCAATAGTTCACCCCGTTGTTCGTCTCTTCTTGTTGTGAAATACTTTTGAGAAAACGAAAAAAATATACATGTACATAAATGAGTCCTCAGGGCATTACGTAATACTTTTTCCATAAACATGACATTTGGTTCTCAGTCTTACTACGCTGTAATTATCTCTGGATGAATTATTATTACAGATCGACAGCAAACGATATGTCTCTTTAAGGGAGTAAGAGTGGGCAATTACCAGAGAAGAGCGAGAGATTCGAGGATAAGGTATATCGTTTGATGATAATTAACCAGTATCAAGTGGGTATAAAAAAATTTCTGAAATTGTGATCCTGCAATTTTTTCTCTGACAAACGATAAAAATCTCAGTACGATAAAAATGCATCGTAACAAGGTTTTTCTCATTGTGCGTGAAACTGATCCCAAATGCTAGTTCGAGGAATTCAGTACAAGGACAGTGATTCAAGTGATTTCAAATGCATTGAACTCTGTGTAATCGTTAGAGAAATAGTTATACAACGGAGATTCTGTAGTGATAATGAAACTTGTTGAGATTAAATCAGACGAAATGGCCCATGCGATGGGTTCACTGCAAACATTGTGATGATAAGATTCAATTGGCGGAATCGGGTGTTAATTAAAATATAGACAGAAATTGGCCATTTTATTTCACTTCAATTGGAGTGTGATTTTTCAAATGGGACTTTATCGGTGGCACCTGCACACCCGCTAACATGGCAAAAAGATTGCAAAACAGTGATATTGTAGGTAATTATATGGTGATGATATGACGATGAAAATTATGTGATGCAATGGATCATGTATTTATTTGCGGTAACGGAATTATGAAAAATTTGATAGAGTACGTACCAATATCTGTATGCTGAACCGATAATTCCAACATAGCAGTTTGTACACGGGTCACGCTATTGTCTCGTTAAGCCCACGATCATAAATAATGAGAGAGCTTGAATGCAATGCCAACTGATTGACAAGTGAATGACAATAATCATGCGATTTCCACCGAAAAATGCGATCACCGATAACTTTTTTGAGGGTCACCTTTCCCCTTTATTTCCGATTAAAAATATTAGTATTTCCACCTTCTCCTGCAATTTGTCGATCGCCCGATGGGTATCGATACTCATTTGATAAAAAAAAAACACTAAAAAATAATTCGTTGATAACTTTGAAATATTGAAAGTGTCACGGGAATATTTAGACTATTGAAATGATGATAAGGCTAACATGGGCCATCTGCACAGCAGCAACGAAGTGTATAAAAATTTCCCCGGGAAATTCCACTTCTTCAGATCAAATGTTACAAAATTTTTCTTTTCACAAATTTTTAGAAAAGAAAAAATTGATTTTCTGCTTGTTTCGGAAGACTTAAACACATGAAGGAATGAAATGACGTGCCGACGATCATCACGACACTGAACAATCTATCATACATGGCCTTACATTTTATATGTAGATTAAGAATAAGATAGAGGAAGGTAGGAGAATCAAAGATTAGATAATAATCAGAGAGGGGTAGCGTCCTTCGTTATACGACGATCCGAACACTCGATGCAATCATGAAAATTGTCAGCTCTCTTGAGTGTTTACCTCCCTTACTATTTTTCCTCCTTGCAAACATGAAGAATAGTAATTGTCAAGAAACTTGGTGATGTAGTATAGAAATTCAATAAGGAGATAAGCGCTTTGACGTCACATTGGTGATAACTGCAGAACAAGCAATTAGATGTGGCAATGCTGTTTTTCCCACCATTTTATTCTCTGCCAGAAACATCAAAACAGTTCATGTTCAGTCCAAAGTGAATTACAGCCAAATGTCAACGTATCAACGCAAATAGTATTTAAACATTCAACAGTTACTAGTTGCAATTAATAAATACCAAACGCGCGGTTGTACTGATTTTTTACACATTCTTTTGTCAAGAATATATAATATTAATGAAGCTTCACAATGAGCATGCCTCCTGTACCATATAGTCAGATTATTCCACATACTAGCATGTGGGAAGAACCCAGACCTTCACGTCATTCACGATAGCATAAAAAATGGGACATTCTATCAGAGATTATGAGTGCATTGACGCGCACTCAACATGAGAAAATCCATCGATTATCAATAATAAAAATGGTTTTTCATAATTTTTCCAGGCGCCCAAGGGAAAGATCGTATGCGGTTACTCACCCGATTTATGGCCCATACTTGCATCGGCTATGCATAATCTCGATAATTATCTGCCTTTCACTTCCACATTTTCAAGAACGCCATTGATTTTTTATTCCAACTATTTCATAAACACATAGCCCAAGTGACAATGATATTAATGTCAGACCAGAGAAGCAACTAACGGGTCTTGTCTCGTTTTTGTTTTATTAAACCCATTGACGAATGCCAAGAAGCAAATTTTAACGCCCACCAGTTGATGGAGAAAACGACTGGAGGAGGAGCCCTCTTGTACTTGGGTCGAGCTCCTCTGACCCTACCCTGCCGTGGGCAGACGTCGTTTATTTCACTTTTCTATACCTAATCCTACCTACCCACCAATCACTGTGACAATCCACCAATAAAACCAATAACTGCTATTTCACATGGCCATCAGGCACCGCAAATATCTCAGGAATTCTAATTGAAAAAATCCAATGTGATATTTTATAATTTCTTATCAAAAATGATAACGAATGAACCACATAATGGGTTCGATTAGAAACCACTTGAGGCACTCTAGAATTTTACGGAAGGGCCCCCTTGATGGTGGCCATAACAAATTACTTGATTTATCTTTGAGTTATGGAAATTTTTTATGTCATTCACCTGATTGCACCTACCACTCTCCCTTATTCTTCCATTTACAACATTAACATTTCCATCCAAACAAGTAAGATTCTACTCCAGCTACCTGAACAACTACCTGGTGTTCTTCGGAAATGCCCAGTGCGATAAAAGTTGTACGTGCGCTGGTACATTTTTCTCGGTATTTTATCGCACTGGCGGATTCCATTATATCTCCATTAATATGTCTGTAGTAATTGAACGTGAATTGGTTGAGGCAGGGGCACATGTGATAAAGTCCCGGGTTGACTCACGTATATAATCGTTGATCGTTTCGGAGGTCAACTCTGGGTCGATTAATACTAAACCTCATTTGGAAAACAAAGTATCAAGAGCCACGCTCGATTCATCACCTGGCATTAATCCACTTATTAATTAACATTTCCTCTCTTGGTTGTGAAGGGATTTAAAGAATTGAGGAATTCCAAGTGGTACAAGGACGACAATTATCCGCAGAGGAATGATACCTAATCCGATCAAATGAAGATAATATGTCTCATTTGACTATTTGACCAACATTCCTTAATAATTATATGATCTAAACATGGGACTTTAACGAGAGTTGCTTGTTGAAGTTTTTCTAGATATATTTTGCATGGTGTGATTGACATGTACACAATCTTACGATCTGCAATAATATTTCATTTTCGATGGAATAATGAGAGAATCAGTTATCACTTCGAAGGTCAGCCCCACGTGTGGAGGATGTACGAGGAAATACTAGAAGCACGACAAGACGAGCAAACACGTGCTCCAACTACTGTGCAAACAGTCACCGACACATGAAAATTACAAGGAATTTCAAATGCCACAACCAAAAATATATTGATAATGAAATAAACGTTATTACCCACGTGAAAGTTATTTTGAGAGTCGAGGCTCTTGAAAGCTGAATTTTCGGGTAGGCAATACTGCAGAGTTGTAAAGGTTACGAACTTGGAAGAGACACTTGATCTAGACAGCCCGATGGCTATTTTCCAACAAGTTTTTCACAGATTGTCTCGGTTAACTTGGAAAATATAATGATGGAATTGAGAGATAGCTCTCCATGGAATAGCAGCAAGGCTGCACCAAGGACTCATTCCTCGAAGCACTCATACTATAATTTTTCTACTGCTATATGATGCAGATGTACAATCTATTATCGAGTTGGTTGGATTTTATGGAAAACGCGGAAGAGCGTAAATTGAGAATAATAATTTATTTTTATTTGTGTCTAGAATTACTAGTATGTTGTGCAAAGTTGAAAGACAAAAGTGTTGCCAACCCGTGGCTAAGCGTGACGATATATTTTCACAGTATGTCAGGTCGAACGGGTAAATACTAAAAATAAGTGAGGAGGATGGGCCGTTGTGACGCTGATCTATAACGACGTAATTAGGTTGATAGTGCGTCATTAATAGGGGCAGATACGTCAGGGATTTGATGACTATATTGCTGTAACCGTTATGAAGCTTAAAAGCTCCAAAGCTCTTCAAACTGAATCTTCAAGGGTAATTTACATCAAAATTAAAATGGAATGCAAAATACAATGAATTTACCTCAAGTGTTTACCAATGAATATTTTATCTATAAGATCAAACAATTGGTCACAATTACCAAATGGA